ACGCCCACTCTCACACAACGCGCGCACACACACAAACACGCAACGGCACCAATCCACACACACACACAAACACGCACAAACACACCCACTCACATACAAACACACAAACCCACACACACAAACACAAAAACTCACAAACACACCAGGACACACACGCAACCACACACCCAGCCGCACGCACGCACACACACACACACACACTCACACACACACTTTTTGGCCTGGACGTAGCAAGGTCTGAGAAGAGGCCACGCGCGCGCGTCTAACGGCCGAGCGCCCCCCCCCCCCCACACACACACACGCACACACACACTTTTGTTGGAGGTCGCGGCCTCGCGCGAAGCATCGAGGCGGGGTAAGGTCAGACACACACACACACACACACACACGCACAGACGCGCACACAAACACGCACACACACACACTCACATACATGTATACACGCACACGCACACTCGAACTCCCACTCACACACACACACCCACACACACACTTGTTTATCAGTCGCGGCCTCGCGCGCAGCGTCGAGGCAGAGTAAGGTCGGGCACGCACACACAATCACAGGCAATCACACACAGGCACACACGGACACAGACACACACACACAGACACACACAGACACACACGGACACAGACGGACACACACACAGACACACACACAGACACAGACACACACACAGAATCGCACGGACATAGACACAGACACGCACACAGACAGACACACACACAGACACACACACATACACACACAGACACACACACACACAGACACACACAGACACACACACACAAACACGCACACAGACACGGACAGACACACACACAGACATAGACACACAGACACACCCACACACAGAGACACACCCACACACACCCGAACACACCACCACACACCCACACACACCCACACACACATAGACACACACACACACACTTGTTTCGTTCGCGGCCTCGCGCGCAGCGTCGAAGCGGAATAACACACACACACTCACAAACACATGTTTTGCGCATCTGGATTGTTATTCCGCGTTCTCTTCATTCGATCCCTTATATATATATCAGAATGAGGGGGCCGAACGGTCATTCACTGTCCCTGGGTGCGTGACTGAAATGGGATTCCGCGGTGCGGATTCGTGCTGTTGTTTGTTGTTGTTTGTTGTTGTTGTTTGTTGTCGTCGTCCCACCCGCAACCCGCCCCGCGACCCACCCGCGACCCACCCCGCGACCCACCCGCGACCCACCCCCGACCCACCCGCGACCCACCCCGCGACCCACCCCGCGACCCACCCTGCGACCCACCCCGCGGCCCACCCGCGACCCACCCGCGACCCACCCGCGACCCACCCCACGACCCACCTGCGACCCACCCGCGAACCACCCTGCGACCCACCCCGCGACCTACCCCGCGGCCCACCCGCGACCCACCCCCGACCCACCCGCGACCCACCCGCGACCCACCCACCCACACCCCCGCGACCCACCCCGCGACCCACCCGCGACCCACCCGCGACCCAAACCACGTTCAAAGTACAAACCAACATTTTCGGTGCCTGCGGCGGGCTTTTTTTTGCATTCTTTCCAGGTGGAGAGCCCGCGACCCACCCCGCGACCAACTCGCGACCCAAACCAAGTTCAGGGTACAAACCACATTTTTCGGCGCCTGCGGCGGGCATCTTTTGCATTCGTTCTAGGTTGAGAGACCGCGGCCCACCCGCGACCACGTTCAGGGTACAACCCAAATTTTTCGGCGCCTGCGGCGGGCATCGTTCCCGCTGGGGAATCCGCGGCCCACCCGCGACCCAAACAAAGTTCAGTGTACAACCACATTTTTCGGCGCCTGCGGCGGGCTGCTTAGGACGAAGAGGAGGAGGAGGAGGAGGAGGGAGGAGGAGGAGGAGGGAGGAGGAGGAGGAGGGGAGGAGAGGAGGAGGAGGAAGGGGACGAAGACGACGACGACGTCCACGACGACGACGACGACGAAAAGGAGGAGGGGGGAGGATCGGGAGGGGGGGAAGAGGAGGAGGACGACGAGGAGGAACATGACGACAATGGAAGGACGATGACGGAAGGACGAGGGTGGGAGAGGGAGGACGAGGACGAAGAAGAGGAGGAGGAGGACGAGGTGGAGGAGGAGGACGACGATGACGATGACGATGAGGACGAGGACGAGGAGGAGGAGGAGGCGGAGGAGGAGGAGGAGGAGGAGGAGAGCGCCATCGACAAGGAAGGTGGGGGCCACGAGGTCCGCCGGCTTGACGACGCCCGCGTCGCCCGCGCCCGCCCCCTCACTCTTATCCGCAATTGCGGGGTGCTACGTATGTATATATATATATAATCTATCTCTATATCTATGTATCTATATATCTATCTGTCTGTCTGTCTGTCTGTCTGTCTGTCTGTATATCTATCTATCTATCTCTGTTGCACACAGGTTTTGCGCGCACTGGCGCCTCACGTGTCTTTTTACCACTCGATGATTTAGAATTTGTTCAGACATGGT